TACTTGGGAAGCATCGTTTCAACTACGACATTACCATACTTTAACGTAGAGCGATCAAGACCATGAAAATTAGATAGGTTGGATGAACGTTTATCAGTTCACCTGGTTGTGTGGAGTTAGGTAAATCGGTGGTCCAACTTGGGTTTTTTAAGAGGGTGCAGGAACACTGTCCCGCATTGTCACGAAGAGGTGAAAGTGAAGGTAATAAGAAGCGCGATCACTGGACATCGAGTCGATAATGATCACCGTATCTCTCTACAGCCTCAGACTTTAAGGTCACCTACAAGGCGAAGAGTGATTTGCTCAAATCATTACGTATCCATTCGACTCATCTGTATTACTGAAGCCATCTTTGGATTTCGAAACAGAAAAGCCAGATCTGTGTATGCAGCAAAGTTCGTTCAACCCTCTCAAATTTCATGGTCTTGATAGCTCTATGCTAAAGTATTGTTATTGCCAATCATATCTGGGTTCAGTCTATCTTTTGTTTTGTTTATTCACTTTGTATGCACTTCCTTTATTACGTCAGTTGTTACCATTACTATTCTCACTTTGAATTCTCCCCGGTATTACTATACTTTCCAGGCAGTCTGATCACATATGTAGGTGTCATATTAATATATATGATAATTAAAAAGCGTCAAGGGGTGACAGAATAGATAAAGCTCAATTTTAAAGGCTAGACTGAGAATTAAAATAACAGTGGATGTCAATAAACCGCAGACGGGAGATAATCGTACATCTGCTGCCGTAATAAAACAAGGTTTACCAGGAGAGTTTCAACCTGACAAAGAATTGTTTTTGACCACATAACGGTGGTTCGCACTTCCTAATCTCAAGATCTTCCACAAACTTCGAAATGCATTCCAAACGCACTTTATACATAGGTTTAAATTAGGTGCAGACATCAATCTGAAATCTTGTCTCTGAAGTATGTTTCGCAGGAGATTATGAGCTTTTTATATTCCCACATCTAGGGGGTTCAAGGTATTCGATGTAATAATTTATATTCCAGATATATGGCTAGGTTCATAAGAAATACAAGCCATTTTTACAGGCATGATAAGTTATGTTATAAATTACAATCATAAGGTATCATGAACTAGCACTTTTTAAAAAGTTTGAAATTTTGGGTTATAGTATAAGCAATCAGTACAGTTTCTTATAAATGTTAAATTGTGAACCCTTCACTAAGGTCACCATCAAGGTTGAGCACTAAACCAAACTTTTTTTCGTTTCCCGCTGATAGTTATAGTCAACCAGTGAACAGCGTATATTTGGGTTTATGCAATGCTACCACGTGATTAGAAGCTATCTCAGAAAGAGAAGAACGTCATGAGAAACTGAAAAATGGCATGAAATGCAATTATGGATAATACAACATTGGAAGTACATCTGCAAGAAATAAACGAGAAGAAGCTAGAAAGTCCTTGGAGTGATAGTATACATTTGTACTGTTCAATGTTAACCATATTGCGAAATATGACGTTTCTGATCAAAATATATTTTTTTCTCAAACATTGGTGTTGTGTTTTTCATCAAAGCAACCAGAATTTAGGCAAGCAAGATATATGAATAAAGAGTGATTCTTAGCTTTGATAAACTCCTAGGTATTTAAGATAAAAAGGAGTGTAATAGTGCGTAAATAAAGAGATTATCATGAGGTAGAAGGGTGATATTTTAGTGATCACTAAAATCCCAGCCAGCAATTTTTTTGGGGCAGACCTAGGGCGCATTGCAGATCTTTTGGGGCACTTCGGGCGCACTGCAGATATTTTTGGGCAGATTTCGGGGGCGTTGAAGACTTTTGGGGCAGACTTAGGGTGCATTGCAGACATTTTGGGGCAGTCTTCGGGGCGAATACTCAAGAACGGCAATGCGCCCAAAGTTTTTTGCCCCGAAGAAATGCTAGCTGGGATATCACCCTTCCAGATTTTGGATTCACTTCTCGAGAAGTAAATCCAAAATCTGGAAGTTTAGAACATGTACTAATGAACTATATAACTACACATTTGGTTGATATAGCTATAGGCAAGATATCCTGAGAAAGCCTAGATGTGAGTTGAGTGTCGAGACCATATCACACTGTTATCTTAAAGGAGATATTCGAAAACATGCAACGTAGCAAATTAATATCAGGGGGGTAGGTTTCCATTGCTTACACTTTTAAAGAAGAGTCGTACGTCATTGCTCATCTCCAAATCCAAGTCTATACAGTCGGCCTGACATATGTTGCATAGAGTACTTGGAACATACCCTCGTCTAATCGTTTGAAAGCCCTTCGAAGTGCTCATAGCACTCGAAAAGCCTTAGCTGCAGCTCGATTACAATTTGCCGTTGCTTTTAAGTCATGGCTAACAATAATTCTTAAGTCCTTTTGTTCCCTAACACCTGGCAGTTCTGTGTCCCCTATGGAGTACGACGTGTAAGACTTCTGACCTAGGTGCATCACCGCGCTTTTCTTGGGATTAATTTCCAGACTCCAAAAGTTAGCCCATCCAGTTAGGTTATCTAAATCGTTTTGTAGTATCAACCTATCATCGTTACTATTTACGGTTTTCCATATCCTAATATCGTCCTCAAATAGTAAGGAAGATGAGGTGAGAATTTTCGGCACTTCATTTATGTATGATAGGAATAGCAGGGGGTCAAGTACAGTTCCCTGAGGTACTCCACTTAGTACTGCTTTCCACCCTGACAGTAGACCATTAACCCTTACCTTCTGCCTCCTATCCATCAAGTAGTCTCTAAACTACTCACATAATCGCTGGTCTAATCCAAAATGTTTAAGTTTACCAAGAAGACCTTAATGGGATACCTTATTGAATGCTTTATTAAGATCGTTAAATACAACGTCCAGTAGATGGTTTTTATCTCTGGCCTCGACCCAATCTTCCCTAGCTAACAGGAAGTTTGTCAAGCAGGATCGTCCTGAACGGAATCCATGCTGTTCCACTGCCAGTAAGCCATGCTTTTCCGTATGAGCTAAGAGCTGTTCCCTTATGAGTTTTTCTGATACCTTTGTTATAATTCAGGTCAGACTTACAGGCCGGTAGTTAGGTATTAACTGCCTGTTCCCATCTTTGAAAATGGGGCTTATAAAAGCATCTTTCCAGTCCGCATGTAGCCTAGCCCGGGTCAGAGACATCTGGAAAATCTCCGTAAGTGGAATGTATATTATATCCACCAAGGAGATTAGCAATCTAAGGTGAAGTCCGTCAGGTACAGGTGATTTACCTGGCTTCAGCTTAGACAGTAGTTTCTGAACCACTGCATCTTCTACCACAATTGGGGGCATTTTAGGGGCTACATCGGTTACCTCGCTACACCCTTGAGTGGTACGATTAAGCGAGAAAACATCACAAAAGTATTCGGAGAGCTTCTCAGCTTTTCTTTCGTCTGTCTCGGCAGCCTCTCCGGTATTGCTTATGAAGGACGGAATGTCACTGCTAGTTTTAGTCCTGCGTTTAATATGCGATTACAGTCTTTTTGGATAATGCACACAATCTAGCCCTAAATGCCTTTCATACTCTATACGACTTCTGTCAACATTATAATTACAAAGGTTTCCAATTTTGCGGTATTCCACCTGAAACTTATTCCTTCCAGTCACAGAAAACCGGTTCTAAAAGTTCTTTCGTTCTCTTAGTGACTTCCTTATTTCATTACTAATCCAAGGTGGTTTATGCGACAGTTTTCGAGGCGTAGACCAGGTTAAAAATAGGTGCAGTGACGCAATCTAGTGTATTCCTAAATTCCATCCAAGCCTCCTCGACAGTCTGGTGTGTATCGACAGACCAGTCAGCTAGGGTTGCTGCATTTCGGATTGCAGCTATATTCGCTTTCCAAATGTTTGGACGAGCAGCTGCTGACCTATGTATGACAACGTCAATCCTAAACGTAAAAGCAATAACTATATAGTCACTACTGTCTAGCGGCGTCAGGCACCTAATGTCACCGACATCCTCCTTCTGATGTGTCAGCACCAAGTCTATAGTGGACGGATCACGGTCAGTGGTATCATGTTGGTGCATCCATATGCTGCACAAGTACGCATTCAAGCACTCTGAGTTCCCTGTTGAAACAAGTATACAAGTTAGTTGGTGTTAATTCCTCACAAATAATATGTGGGGCATCAAAGTCACCTACTATTAGACACCTATTTCTACTACCCCACGTCCTGAGGTGATTTAGTACTAAATCGTCAGCTTGGCTGGCAGTACTTCTATAAATAACCTTAATTGTCACAGTGCCCTTGTTCAAGTTAATAACACAGCTTACTGCTTTACTGGTGCCACTGTCATGAGCTTTCAACAACGTTGATCTAATTCCTATGTCATCCCGGATGCATAGGGCCACCCTACCATTTTTCCAACTAATTACTCAGTCTGCTCTAATACAGATGTACGCAGGTATCAGTGGAGTTAATTCTACAACCATGTCTCACTGATACCAATCACATCAGGTTGTGGTCTTTGAGATAATTCTCCTGATTCGGAGAGCTTATCCCTAAGACTACATGCGTTAGTATAGCACACTGAAACACCTATGTGCTCATCCGGCTTATGAAGAAAGGTTTCGGCAGCATCGGTTTCCGAGACCTCACCACCCGAAAACCCAATAGCTTGTGGTCTTTTTCGCCTTTCTCTAGCCTGGCCAATAGTTCAGCCACGACTTCCCTTCTTTTGATTCTATCTTCTAAAGGCCAATCAGGCCTTACTTTTAAACTTTTGTCGTTGATTTTAGACGTGTTGTTGAGGATGGTGCTCCTCTCTGTTTCATTCCCTCAAACTATCTTAAGTAACTATCTAAAGCATCTTTGTTCATTCGATTTCCAGTTTAAGACGATCACGAGACTGAATGACATATCGAACTGATATGTAACTAGCAATCGAAATATTGAAACGTATACAATTCATACTGGTAGATTTCAAGTGTATTTCAAAATCATCATCTTCTGCACCTCAACTCCAATAATAATAATTTGAAAATTTATTAACTCAGACACAGTGTTCATTTGAAATTTTCAATATCCCGCCAATGTATTCTGGATATATCAGTGTAAAATCTTCTGTATTTTTGCCAACTCTGAAATGTACTGCCATCTGTTTCACTTGCTCATCACAACCATATGGAATACGACCATCTAACGGTGCTAAATCTGCATCATGTAGTACAGCACAATAAAAAATGAAAATATTTTTTTCTCATTTGCATTCAAACCACTATTCATGAATTTACCTCGATTAAACAAACCATGTTCAATGAGTTCAATATTAAATATACGAAAGCGTAATTGCTCTCTTTGTAGCAGTGGTATTCCAGTGGATAAGGTGACATAAAGTTGAGACCGTCTATTTTTACACATAAGAATGATCGATACACCAGATTTCGAAACTTTACTACACGTATTATAATTATAATTATAAATAATAGTAATAATAGTATTGTTTGGATGATGTGAAATCATTTTAAACATCCATGATCCACCGATTACATGTTGGAATGTTGTAGTATGTTTACATCTTATTGAAATTGAAGTATGACTAGTCGCCTGGATATCTTTCTTCTGACTGTCAGTTATTCCAGTGTCCATTTCACAAATTAGCCGGCAAGTAAGTAAATTTTCATGTCCGTTTGACACTGTGAGATCCATATTATTATCAGTAGTGGGGTGAGTAGTATAATGTTTTATCCTGAAATAAACCGACGGTTTTAAAATAGGATAACAGATGAATATTAAAAATTGATATTGATATTTTAGTAATTCACAAAAATTTATGAGGTTAATAAACGCACACATAACTGTAGAGCCAGAAGAGGAGATTATCGAAAAACATATTTTTCACTCAATTTTTTTATTTTTTCTAGATGTTTAAATCAATATTTTCGTTGTACTGGAATCCTCTGAGCAACATTTTGCCTTGAAAATACTCAACGGGTATTTGAAGTCCAGCACAAAGCTCAGTGAAGCAAAGACTACTGTTAACTTTGTCCACCAATGTCCTGAAACAAACTGCTATCCTGAATCTTATGGGAAATCTCAACGTCGTGACAGAGTTCGGGCTAATGATGAGACACTCAAACGCCATGCACTTAATCAGATTGACTTAATTCAAACTGATTTATCAAAGAATGTCACAGAAAGGTTCTATGCTATCTATGAACTACCAGAGAATTCAAAGAAACCTTTTAGCGTATTTGGATGAAATTGTTAGTAAAAGGACAGAAAAGAAACGTACGAAGCTACTACAGAGTCTAGAGAACACGGTCCCTGAAACAAGATCTCCTCCGAACCGAAGTCATTATGTGTATAATTTCTCGGATGTAGTCCTTGATAAAGTGGATCTACAGGTTCTCTCGATTGGCCCTAAATTTTGTGACAGTCATGTTAGAATTACTAAAATGGATGCACCAGTTCAGTTTGAAAGTCTCTATACTCAAACCGAAGACCTATTACCCTGATCAACTGAAGAGGTTGAAAGACTTAAATCAACTCTGGTCGATATTTGCTATATAATATGAATAGTAAATGCAACTCGGATGGTATTTTCACGAAAAATGATGGAGTAGCCGTAGATATTCACCAGGGAAATTGATAATATTGTAATATCAAGGCGGATAAAGGGTTCAGGAGTGGTTATAATGAACAAAGCGGATTACTTCGGGAAGATGAATACTATTCTTATTGACAATCTAAAATTCGAAAAAATCTCACCTTATCTACATCCGATTGAAAAGAAAGAGAAACAGTTAGCTGAAACACAGAGAAGATTGAAACAACAAGGCTTTATCTCACAAAGTCAGTTCACGTCTATTAAACCCACTGGAACGTTCACACGAAGATTATATGTGTGAATTTCTTCCAAAAGAAATTCTGGTCGATAATCGAACGATTACTACAACCACACGACGTTGAGTGACGCGTAAAATGCGAAAACGCAGGATTTTTCTAAAATATGATACTATATTGAACATAAAATATGAAATATGATATAAAAACCTCAAATTGTGAGCTGTCTCTGTCTGAATTCCGGATGAAAGCATAGTCAATTTGAGTCAATAAGTAAGAAACAGCGGAGCTGTATTATAGGCAATCCATGAGTTATTCAAACAGCGCGCGAATGCCAGACACAGAATAAAGGGACACGGATAAACAATGTTCAACAGTTAAGGATACACGAATAAGGCACATACAGCAAATGATGTTCGACTATAAGAAAATAATTATTATACATCTACTGGATTAGTAATACATTGAGTGAGATAAACTTAAATGGTAAAAAAGACATGGTTACTAATTAACAAATACATTAGTGATATTAACATTTCACACTACTTACTAGAGATAAGTAGTATACGTTTGGCACAAAAGGAGTAATTTGAGGCATTCGAACTATTAAACATAAACTATGCATTCAAAAGAAGCTCGTACAGCCATTATCGCTCCCTTTGCCTATTAAGACATAACCAACTTATGACTTCTACACCACCCCTTTTTTATATTTTCAACCCATTTCTTATCATCCCTCAATCTTATCACATCTTCATTATAAACGTGTTTCATTTACTTCCCTTACAATCTAACATTACTTAATCGCTTCATTTGTTTTTACTAGCGTTTATCGACTACTTCCACCTGAATAGTTGTTTGTCTAATCATGCTGTTTTTCATCATTCGCGTTATCAGAGATTGCCTCACTTTTTCATCCTTATTATGGATAAGACCATTATTATTATTATTATTACTATTATTATCATATCGTGGAAAATACCCATTGGAACATTAGATTGAGAAGAACAATCTTCTCAATGTATTATTATCACTACTACTATTATGGCTAAATGCACAATTTATATTCACCATCGTATTATCCTATTGACAAAACACCATGATTGGTTTATATTTGAATTTTTATTTGTTAACTTATGTATATTAGATTTAAGCCTAATGAGATCTAATTGAAAACAATATTGTTCGCTCAAATGTGTTGTTCTAAAAAGAAGGAATGACACGAAGGAAATAAGATTGAAATTAACAATGTGGTTCATCAAAAGTGCACGAAAATGGTGCACCACTTCGACTAGTACAAGATAGGTTAAATTTAACATAAAATCACGCAGCCAGATGGTTAGTCAAACTCTTACACCCTCAACATATTGAATTGGTGAAATACAGCGTCAAAGACAACTTCGGATTTGTTGAAAGGATAAAAGATTTAAATGTTGACAATAAATTCATGATGTCATTCGACGTATCTTCCTTATTCACCAATGTACCACTTATGGAAGCAGTAGAATTTGTATGCAAAGCACTCAAAAGACGAAACATCGATGTTGGCACTCCTATATCCTTCATGAAAGAGTTCCGCATGAAATGCACAATGAACGTCCACAATTTATTTCATAAGGATCTATACAGACAAATCGACAGTGTGGCAATGGAGTCACCACTGGACCCATTCTAGCCGACATTTCCCTTGTGAAACTAGAGAATGGGCCTCTGGAAGATGTAACTGATGAACTAGAATTCTACTGCTGGTACATGCATGATGCATTCTTGATTTTAAAAATGAGAAGGAAGCAAAGAACATCCTGAACAAATCTAACGATGTTCACCCTGCAATTAATTTTACCGTCGAGGAAGAAAGACACTCCATCTAGTATTTCATTTTTAGACGTACTCACGACCAGAAAAAGGGACAGTACAATATGAAGTAGTGTATATAGAAGACCTACATCAACTGACTGTCAGTATACTCATTATCTTAGCTTTGTGCCTTTGGAATACACACGCAATCCGATAAAGTGCTTGGTCCATAGAGGAAGAGCAATCTGCTCTGAAGAATGTTTCAATGAAGAACTTAACATTATTAAACAGCTGTTGAGTGAGAACGGTTATCCAGAAAACTTCATCGATAAGAATATGAATCGAAAATCAAGACAGGTCAAAGTACCAATAGTTCCGAAAAGCCCTTATTCTTACAGCTTCAGTTCCTCGGGGATAACATCAGCGAGATATTAACAGGATGCCTTAGAAATGTGGTCTAAAGAGCGTTCAGTGCTGGTGAATTCCTCTGTGTCTTCAAAACCACTCGTATTTTGCATCCCGGGGTGAAAGATAAACTGTCTAATTTCGCCTCTTCTACGTGTATTTACTGATTTGACTGCTCCTGTGTAGGTAGTTAGTTGCATAGGCCATACAATTAGGCGTGTTTCCCGTCGGATTTCCGAACATCATCCTATGTGGTTAATCGAGTAAAGGGCAATCGAAATCCATTCATAGCTCTATTCTATCTCGTCTCGTCGATACAGAACACCAGACTGATATTAACGACGTGGCTTTCAAAGTCATCTACCACATACCAAGTAATCTCAACTTTACCTCAATAGTTCCTTTACTACATATTGCTGAAGCTGTTGGGAAAGACATTTAGAAATCTAATTTATTAAGCCAAAAGAAGCTGGTTCAGACATCCTCCTTACCTTGGCCATCTCGGTTCGAATGATCCCCGATTTGTTGTGGAAATTTCCCTAATTTAATTTGATATTCTATTTGCTGTTATATTTGTATGCCTGTTCTAATTTATGCATCTTTAGTGAACTGTAATTCCATTGATCTTACTCAACAAATCGGTAGTATTTAAAAACACCAGTATTGTTAATGACGTGTATTCTAGAATATATATATAATATTGGGGAGCCAGAAGAGGAGATTATCGAAAAGGATATTCTGCGCTCAAGCTTTCCTTTTTCCTAGACGTCTGATTGAATATATTCGCTATAAATAATGCGCTTATTTGTATTACAAAAGAAATTCATTGTTTAATTAGGTTAAACATGGCGGAATTGAGTCATTCAAATATTTGTCAAGTATAGTTTAACGAGTATCGAAGCATGGATGAATACATTATGTTACATTTACTTTAATTATAGTCATAAATTGGACATATGAGAAAAGCTGTGCATTCTGTATTAATAATGTGTATCATAAGTGAAGAGGTATTGATTAGTAGTCACGACATTGTCATTATTATCATTATTATTGATTTTTCAGCAATTAATCCTTAAAAATGTTGGACAGGCTGATGGTCTGTACAATTTATTAATTAATGTCGTGTATTATCATACAGTGGTGGTGGTGTGATACAGACAAGGAATATGATTCTCACATATTCCCACAATTCAATACTGCATTAGCAAGAGAACACAATACATGTATATTTGATCACCGTATTTCTTGTCATTCAATTTAAACCAAAATCACACGTTCAGTGATTGGCTAAAGGATATACACTGTATGCATATGTAAATTGCTGTTTGATCACTTGAAAATATACCTTGGCTTCTGTGTCTTGTCTTCTGTTGATACAACACCTTTTCGCTCTTAAGCGGAATACAGGGCTTCAAAAGCACATCTCCATTTCACCCAGTTCTCCAAGATCTTTTCTTGGGCTGACTCCACGACTGCCCGAAAACTGTCTTCTTTATCTAACAAGATCTCATCCATTGCACCTTCGAACCGACGCCCAACTCGCAGTTTCCTATTCGAGTTCCACTAAAGAGCCTGGAGTGGGATGACACTCGACATTCACT